TGCATCACGTGACCAATTGCACACGGGCACGTGACTGCCTTGGAAATGGTTTTGGTTAGTCGTCCAATCCACAGATCAAACTAACCAGCTTGAGATTCCGTCCACACTTTTGTGAACTTGTTGATGTGAAACCTCATCGGAATTTGGGGGTTCCACATTTATGCCATGCTAATAATGTCAGCCGTAAGACAATCAACCGTATTCGAATGAATCACACACACACACACACGACAAATGATTAAAAGTTTGATGTGTGAATTTTCTCACATCATTATGCATTCTTCACCTGTATCTCTGAGGCGTTGTCACAGCACAGGTACACTGTGATCAGTGTGTGCCAAAGCAATGCATTCTGTTCCGACTTCCGGGCACATCTGTTCTTGACTCGCGCATTCGCGTGAACAAGCACGGGATTAATCCGTGCATTTGACAATCTAAGGACACGGGTGGAACCGGGGTTGAGCCAAATAAACCTAACTGCCTATTTCTGCATTTGTTTTCTTTTTAAGTTTCCAACCAATACTTCATCTTGCTCCACCACCCCCCGCTCCTCCTCCCCCCACACACAAATACAACCCTGGCAATCAAAATGTAACTTCAGCGCTTCCTCACGTGTGTGGTGAACAGATTCACTGTCAGCCGGCTCCCGGAAAATGCAAATCGTTATCCTAGCTCCTCGGATCAGAGAATGTCTGACCACGTGGCTGAACAGTAGATCCTCATTATTATAATTCATGTAGTGCAGAAGGATAAAAATTATCTTGAGTCAATAAATTTACTCATCTCCCATGAAAGTGTCGTGGGGTTTCATTCTGGAACATGAACGACATCCCCAGCAGACCATTTGTCATTTTATTCAAGGAAAATTCCCATCACTACGGGGACAAAGTTGTTCCTGTTGATAGTGCCCAAGTTTCGTGCTTTTGACTCACTTCAGTATCACATAAAAAAATAAATATCTTTTTAAATCCTTTTTTATTTATTGAATATACAAATGTACAGTCAGTATTCAGGAAGGAAGGCCGCGGCCATACAAAGGCTGTCTAAGAAGATGATCGTTCGAAGATAATTGTTCATCAATATTGGTCCTCTCATAGAAACCCAATTAATGATGTTTTAAGGATATCTTTTGGTGTTGAGCAGCTGATGGATTAAACTCCATAGTCATGAGAACCTGCTGTTTAGCCATGATAATCGGAAAGCGAATACCCAGGACTTGGTCTGGCGAACTGCATAAGTCCCCGCTAGGTATGGGACGTAGATAAAGAAAGGGGTTTCCTATTCGCAGTTGTGGTGGATCGTAGTCTAGAGAGAGAGAGAGTTCTAACCTAACAAGTTCAGTACTTTAGTGTCAGGGGTCAGGATCGAACATCACTTTTGAGAATATTAAATGTAGTCAAACCAAACTCTGAAACCGAGTAGAAACGTTGCTCATCTTAGATCACACCAGAGGGCGATGCGGTTGCATCCTACACAACAGCACGTATGAAAACGGTCGAAATCCCAATCAGATCTATATCGACGAATCCGCAGCCGTATGGTCAATGCGAGAGGATGAGAGGAAAGCGAAGTACAGTAGTCTGGTTCAACAGCAATGCAATAAAATTCACCATCAATCAAAACATTCACTGGCGCACACAGGCAGACAAACAGACAGCCCACCTCGTACATATGCGTGTCCAATACCTGGCTGTGGGGAAAGCAAAGTTGACCGTACTTTTTGTTTGCTTTGCCTGTTTGAGGTACAGATACAAAAAAACAAAAAAAAATACGCGAACGTGTTTGGACTAGATTTATTTAACCAACCCCCGAGGAGGTAGCAGAACCGGATCGATCTCCTACGCTGTGTACTGATCCATAATAAGCGGGATGTACTTTAGGTGATCAACGAAAGAGGATTCTCGTGTTGGCTCGAATGCACTTTTTCTTACGAGAAATGTGCACCGGACCGTCGCATAAAACGAATTCTCTTCTACTAAACTGAACGGATTTTGGTATGGTATGTTTGTTGACCTATCGTTCGGTCATCAGCCGGCTAGGTGCCGGATGAGAAGGGTTTGGATAACATCAAAAGTCTCTCTAGTTCATAATTAGGCTGGTTATAGTTTAATGAAGAGGCTGCGACTTCTGGTGAAGAAATCACAAGCCTTTCCAAGACGGTGATCGAGCCGTGTTCACTACCGGATGTTGTTTTCTTCCGCAGTCCTTCAAGGTCCGGGACAACGTTTTTATCTAGTTACCATACCAGGTAGTGCTTGTTTTGGTTGCACAGTCTTCCTTCATTATTGATCGTATCTATTTTAGGAATGAAATGAGCAGCTATCAATATTTATTATTATTATTATTATGGCATCTGATGGGCCTGTGTTTGTTCGCTTCCCATTGCACAAGCCCAGGATTGTGCCTGAAACGAGATCAATGATGTTTATCTCATTCCAGCTCAACTATTGTCGACCCCAAACTGGCTTGCTCAGCATCATTCTCGCTCTAATCTTTCTATCCTTGTCCCACTACCCCGCCCAACTCCCGCTCCCCGTCATCCAGCTTCTTTCAAGTTTATTTTTCCGTTCTCACTGCTCGACTGTGATGAAGTACGATCTCGAAGAATTGCATCGGTTGCCTTTGATAGCTCCAGAGGAGCAAAATTACGGACTATTTTTTTGCTGATGGAGGAAATCTGTTGCCAACATGTGATCAGTTATTTTGTTGATCGCCAACAACTCATTTTTTCTTCAATACGTTCTAATCACGATATATTATTAGAATAAGCGATCTTCTCACAATTCTCGTTTTTTCTACAAGTGTCTTCAATTGGTGTTTCTCACGATTAACTCATCATAGTTGCTTAAAAACACCATAGTATCAGGACAGCTGTTTCGTCCTGTTTGGAACTCAGGAGTGCAAGGTGCCTCATAAAAATCGAATGGGCTAGTCCAAGCATGCTAATCTAAAACTATAGGACCTGTCGAAAATTCTCACTCCCTCACAGGATGTGCACCGACCACATTCGTCTCTACAATTCTCGAAATCCCTTGCTTGCATTGCCAAGCTCTATTTATCCCCGCACAGAAGCTCACCATTTTTTTTAATTGTATCATATTCAGTTCGGATTTTTCGTATCTCTGAGGTGTGGGCATCTGAACTGTCCATTGCAATACCTTGACTTACGCCAAAGTGATGTATGAGTTATTTTCTTACTCGTCCGAATACATTCCTAATTCGGGGTGAGCAATGATGTTCTTACTTAACTTGACTTGACTAATCCCGTGTTTCCCCAACTGTCTGATCAATATTTATCACACACACACACACATGCATAATTTGCACTGGAGGATTTGACCAACTTGAGACTGGGTCAACTGTGTTTATGATCGAGTTCACGGTTTCTCGATGCGGATATTTTCTCTGATTGATGCTTCCTTTCCCATAAAATGATCCCGTTATTCTCCATTCATTTCGGGCGAATGTGTTATAAATGTACCGCGCTCTGCCTGTGATGTGTGTGAGTACGAAGCTTTACTCATGAACGGACTACCCGTTCAATGCATTTCTGATTACTGNTTGCTATCTGAGATATTTAATCTTTCGGTGTGTATCTACATCTCATGTGAACATTGGACGCGACTGTTGTGATTTGAATTAGTTAGTTAGTTTTGCTTAGAACAAAAGCAAAAAGAGATAAATCAGTCAGAGAGCAACAGAGCGAGATCTATTCTCCTCAGGTTTTACACCTCAACGAATATGCTATTCATTGGTGGCACTATGCATACTCCGAATGCTCATTTCCCGGTATTCGCTTCACAGCACATATTGACCATAATTAATCGGGCAATCGGTTCAATAGTATATAAACATCACGTGCTAAATCATTCGCTCATACTAATGGGGCAACACAATATCATCATGATGTACTTTTTCGTTTCGAAACGTGGTTCTGACAAGGCAGATCAATAACAGGTTGTAAATCAATCAAAGTGAAATAGGCTGCGGATTGAAAGAGTATGGAAAATCGATATTCATACTAAAGGAATTCATCTTTTCATTTTGCTGATCTTTATCTGAATT